AAAATCTGCATCTGGAACAAAATCTAATTCTAGTTTAGAGGACACCATCTGGGGAACTGATACTGATACTGATACATGGAAGGAAGAGGTGGAGGACATCAATTCTTCTTAGTTCCTTTTCATCAGAATGTTTAACATTTTAAGATTTATAGATTCTGGATTTTTAGAATCTGATGCAGTCTTCCAATATTATCTAAGGAAGTAAACACATACTATCATTCTTTCTTTCTTCCCAGAACTATTTTCCTCCTACTATGTGAACTAGTACATTATTCTTTTTAAATGAAAGGTTTTCCATGAAGCAAACTCTCATATGGGGTAGAACATTTTGAATTCAGGCAATATGTTACACAATGGTTAATTGCTACAAGCTTCCCAATTTCTTTCAAGGAATGCAGAGCTATAGATAAAGGCCGATATTGCAATATATTTTTGAGTGCCTAAATGTTCTAACTCAAAACTAGCTCTCCTCTGAGAATACTGCTTCCTTTGCAGCCTTTGAACTTCTGCCATGATTTCTACAGCATCGTTCATAGAGGTGGGAAAAGTCTTTCTTGTTCCCTCCAGACTAGGCTCCTCATTATCTCCCTAAAAACATTCTGTGTTGAAATTGCTGTCATGTGGTATCACCAATTACGTGTTCCTAGTACAACTAAGTATTTTTCTTTGAAGATTTCAGCTTCTAGTTTGTTATCACCTTCGGAAAATCTATTTATGACCCACTTCTTGGTAATGTTAAATACACATAAATGCTTTTCTACCAATGATTTTCTACTTTACCCTGTCTCCAAATCTTACTTTAATTATTAACTTCCAAAGCCATATATGAGCCTCTGTTATTACCTATAACAGTATTTCCCTCAGAATTTTACCTTTCTTCTTCTTCAAACTCTATTTTCTGACTTGATCCACATGATATCTATTATGTATTGATATTATCACTTTTTAATGTTGTTTCTGATCACGTATTCACTTCTTACTTACCTCAAAACGAATAGTTCTTATAATTGTTTCTTAGAAGCACCTTTAACATCTTGCTCTACTTGACTTCACTGTTCTTGTGTTATGAGGACTAACCCAATATAAATTCAGTTTTTTGGCAAATTTGTGAAAAATACAACTGTGCTGACTGGACTCACCTCAAGTTCAGTTGTGTCTCAAGGACACATTTGACAATATTATGCCTTTCTAGTTCATTCCTTATCTTTCTTTTTTTTGTAACTTTAGTCTTTAGTCTTGCTAAATTTAAATTTTTATTCTAAATTGATGACCATACAATTTCATTGAAGTAACTGAAGCATTCTGAACAAAGATGATATAATAAAGCTCCCACTATCACATCTACTCATTTATCTGTAGTTGTATGCCTATGTCCTAAGAGAAGAAGTAGGATATAGGTATACAAGTACAGATACGTGAGTAGAGGTGACACTGGGAATTTATTCATGATAAATGGATAAATTGTGTTCTTATATAAAGTTTATAATGTATATTTACCTTCATCTTTAAATTCTACCTCATATTTATTCATATTCTCCCCACCACCACCCTGTAGTAAAGATCAGGAATCAAATTCAGGGCTTTGAGCATTCTAGGGAAGCAGTCTACCTCTGTGCTATATCTCAAGCCCTTGCTTACTTGTGTACTAGATATTGAACTCAGGGCCTTCACTCAGTAAATCTCCAGCCCCCTCGCCCCCCCATCTTTTTTTTGAATTTTAGAAATTTTTGAGCTAGAGTCTTACTAAACTGCTGAACTGGTTAGGCTGGGAACCTCTTACCCTACCTTCCAAGAATGTCTGTTTATTTTTAATTTTGAGGCAAGGTCTTGCTAAATTGCCTAGACTGGCTTAAACTTTTGATCATCCTGCTTCAGCCTCAGAAGCAGCTGGGATTACAGATGCACTCTACCATGTATGGCTCCTACCCTCTTTTGCCTCTGTTTTTGTTATTTGCTGTTTTTCCAGCTAAGCATTCATGATGTTTTGTTAACTTGTGTGACTGATTATCAAAGACTGTGTGTTGAACATTGTATATTTGAAATTATTCATGGAAGTAATTAGAGCCCTAGAATAATGTTCTTTGTTATGGAAGGTCTTTGTTTCAGCCAGATATGTGGGAATACCTGTAGTTTGGAATCATTTTAACCCAAGTTCAAAGATTAAGATTTTCTGAGCATTCAAATGATGTAAAGTGAGGCCACCATCTGTATATATGTTTGTTTTTTTCTAGTTTACCCCTCGCGTGTATCCTTTTGAAAACCTAACTTCTTGAGTCAGGTGAGCCACAGATTCTAGATTTTGACCCTTAGCCATATGAAGATGCTAAAAGGGTTACTCAGATTTACAACATACCAGGGCAAAAGTAGCTTCAAGTACGTGGTTCATGTCTCTGATGTCTTCAAAATCTTGCCTTGAGAGTTCCTTTCCACTTTGCTAGCTATTTTATGCTTTGAAATTTAAAAAATTACTTTGAATTACTTGTTTCATTACTGGGAATAGAAAGTCTTTAGCTCCATTATTTTTGCTTATCAGATTTGATGAGGTTTTAATAGTTACCAAACACTGTTAATGAATGTTGTTGATGAGGTCTGCATTGTTAAGTCCAATATCCTTTCTTAATTTTTCACTTCACTTGACATTAATTCAGTTACTCTCTGCATTCTGCAAACATTTGTTTTGATTTCCAGGATACCACATTTATCTAGTTTTCCTTCTATCTTATTGATACTGCCTTAGTTTACTTTGGTAGTTATCTCCCTGATCTCTAAACATTGGAGAACCCTAGTGCAGTTTTTAGACTTCCTTTTATTTGTTACCTACTGTGTAGGTAATCTTAAACAAGTATAGGTTTTAGATTCCATTTATATGTAAATGACTTCATAATTTTTACCTCTAGCCAGAACCTATCTTGACATCTTACTAGAATAGCCTGACAATCTTACTTGAACCAACAAATACTTCAAGCTAAATATATCCTAAACCGAGCTCCTCATCTTTTATCTAAATTACCTTCTCTAAAAGTCTTCTCCATCTCTATTACACAACTCTGTCTGCCAATAATACAAAATCTTAACAGTCATTTCTTACTATTCTACTCCTCTCATAACCAACATCTAATCGATCAGTGAAATGTGCTGGGTGTACCTTAAAGTATATACAAAATTCTGAAAATTTCTTATTATTTTCCCTGTTACATGTCTCCTGGATTATTTTAGTAACCTTTTCAGTGCTTTCCCTACTTCTACACTTGCCCTTATTATATTTGTAACATATCAACCAAAATAATATTTTAAACACATAATTCAAATTATGTTATTCCTTTACTCAAAAATTTCCAATGCTTTTTCAAGAGAGTACACTTAGAAGGTCCTACATGATCTGGTTTCTTGATCTTTGATTTAATTTTCTACACTGTCCCAATAGATACTCTCTTCTAGTCACATTGATCTTCCTGCTAATGCCAGAACATTGTAATTAACTGCATTCCCAGGCTCAGAGACTTGTCTTTTGTTCTTTCTGCCTAGAAATCTCTTTCCCTAGATTTCCTGTGGTTGGTTCCTTTGCCTCCTTCTAATAGCACCCAAGTGATGACTTTTTTAGAGGTGCTTTTTCTGATCATTCTCTTTAAAGTCACATCATCCACTCCATTTTCTATCATATTTTCCTTCCCCACTGTTTGATTTTTCTCTCTAGCACTTAACCATTTCTATTAGTGAAACATTTGAAGGCATTAAGACCTTTGTGATACTCCATAATCCATATCACTTAGCTATTTATCCTGTAAGAAAGGAACTTTCATATTGAATTTATATGCATTTCAGTATTCCTTTGAATTCTATAGAATTTCACTTTATGTCTTCAAATATAAGAAAGAATTAAGTTTAGAAATGTTATAGACAGCTATAGTTATAATTTTAGTTTTTATATTAATCTAGGGTATATCTATGGAAGTTAAGTATCTTGATAATATAAATAAATGAATATTGTAGTACATTTAAAAAGGAGAAATAGACTTTTTTGGGCAAGATTGTACAACTGTATTGTAATACATATATATGTGTGGGTACAAAATTAAAATAAAGACTACTATTCACCTTATAGAATGACATCGCATAGTTTTTTTTTTTTTCAAATCAGTATATGATCAATGTGTTGGGAACAGAGTTTGTATCAAAAATGATATATTTGTTATACTGACCACAGACAACATAGAAATTAAGATAATATGATATGGTGTAGCAGATAGTTTCCTCTATTCAAATGATAATTGCTTCTCTTGCTTAAAAGCCTTCCTTGATTATTTTACCCTAAATTCATTTTTGCTCCTCTGATGAATGCATTTCAGGTATCTGCAAAGGATATAGCTTTTTAGGAATAACAAAATCCTCTATCTTCATGGTCACTGACTCAACAATGAAGAATTTACATTCTTTGTGTAAAAATCATACTGTTAAGAAGTGTGATGGAAGGAATTCTATGAGTTCCTTCTTAGTTTTGTTAACTTTGATGGCCCTAAATTACTTTTTTTTTTTGGTCTTTTGAGACAGTCATGCTATGCAGTTCAGGTCAGCCTTGAGCTCATTTTGTAGCCCAGGTTGGTTTCAAATTTGCAAGAAACCTTCTGCTTTAGCCTCCCAAGTTCTAGGATTACAGGCATGTACCACCATGCCCAGTTCTAAATTACTAATTCTGTGGAGAGCTGTTGTCTAAAGGCTCAAAAGTCAGGTTTGCCCATATTAGTTTTAATATGAATGTGCTGTGTTCCAAATATAAACTTTAAGCAAATGAGATAGGTAGGGAGATAATATCAGAAGTATGTCTTCCTCTCAGAGTATTTTGTTTTTAATGATTTGTTTCTGCCAGTGTTATGGTCACAAAAATGACCAAGACTTGGAATAAATGCATTGCAAATCTCAGATGCAGTGAAATGTTAAAATGAAGGTAGACATCAGCGTTTTTGAAAAACAAGAACTTACCATCTGATACCTTGTGTTCACAGTTGAGCAAATCTTTGCAGATTCGTGCTGGATTATCTCGTGTACCAAGAGGATTTCTGATGCTGTGCAGTAAGTTGCTAAGGTAGTTTAGAGTTTTGAATATCTCTGCACTGTGGTCAGTTAAAGTCACTTCAGTATTCTGGTATCTCTGCCAAGTCATCATAAGAATCAAATAAGCAAAAAACAAAAACAAAAATAAAAACAAAAAGAAAAAAAAATAAGAATCAAATAAGCAGTAAAATCCTAATGACAATCATGGATCAGGACAGAAGGAAAAAGTGTTCTTAATTGTGTATAGTGAGTTGGGAGAAGAATATAAAGAATAAATTATATTTAAGCATAGGCATATGTATATACTTTATTAATTTGATCTTCAGTAAGAGATTAAATTCATACTGGAAAGTTTAGTTTTCAAGCAGATGGAAGACTTAAAAAAACTACTATGCTTGCTGTTTAATGCTTTTTAAATTATACATGTAATAGAGTTTAAATAAGATAAATTAATAGTGATGATAGAGCTCACCTAAAGAACAATATTCTTTTTTGTTTGTTTTGTCATTTTTTTTCTTTTTGAGACAGGGTTTCACTATGCAATTGAGGTTGGTCTTGAGCTCACTTTGTATATCAAGCTGGTCTTGAACTTGCAACGATCCTCCTGCCTCAGCCTCTCAAGTGCTAGGATTACAGGTATGTACCATTATGCCTGGCAATATTCTTTTTTTTTTAAAGATTACTTTTAATTATTTTCTTCAGTGGTACCAATTTCTTACAAATAAATCTTTTTACAGTGGTAGTTTTGTTTTAAACATTTTCCTTATGAAATACCCTATGTATATTTCTTCTTGAAAATGGCTTCATATTTTCAATCTGTTTTAAATACAATCTTTGAGAGAGTGCCATATTTTGGCCTTTGAAAATTCTTCAGTTTAATTTGTGTTATATTGAGATTGCCAATATAAATAAAGCCAATATGTTACCTCCATCTGTAGGGCAGTGTTCGATTCAATCAAGGCTTGAATAGCAGCATTGATATCCATTTGTTTCTGTGTAAAACAAAACCATTTGAGATCAGCAATAAGATCAACACTGTGTGTTCTAAAGAAAAGATTGTAAATTCTGAAAGCACTGCTGTTAAAGTACACTAGACTTGTCTAAAAGATGTCTGTAATTCTGAAGGTTAGACAAATCTTGCAAATATTGTGTGGTTATCTGAAAGGAACATATGCTGCCTACATCCAGATCTCAAAAAGTCTCCTAATTAAAATAGGATCAATGTCTAGCACCCTTACATGAAAAACTATTTTTGCCTGTTGCACAAAAGCGTATATACACCATTCCACAATATGGAAGAAGAATGAAATATGATCCTCTCACTTAATAAATTGTAAAGTGAAGAATAAATAACTGTAGTAATTTTTAACAGTTACATTCTTGGAATGAAAATAGAATAAAATACTACTGTCCTGAGGTAGTTACCACATTAGTTTAATCTGATACTTCTGCGGTCTTAAAAACAACTTTTGAAGTTGGAAAATGTACCATTAGTCCCAAAAGAAATAATACAGCATGAATCCAATCTTCCTGCATTTAATAAAAGATATTTTTAGAGAAAAACTCAGTATAACCATTAGTAAAAGTCTTTTTGTAATTTTTTTTGAATCAGCTTGGAAAGTAAGAAGCATGAGTTGGGAGAAGGTTCTGGGAAATGAAGAGATAGTTCTGTGTAAGTGAACCAAGCAATTTAATTTCTTTCAGAATGATTGTACTGTTAAGATATCTTTTTATTTGGAGATCCACACAGTAGAAACTGTTTTCAGCAGATCTCTCATAACTCATAGTTGGTAGTCTAAAAAACTATTTAAAATGATAGGACAATCAATAAAATGTACTGTCTCTTACCTCAACATGTGTTTTTCATATTGGAAAAAATCAACTCATTCTGAAAACAGTCACTTTCATTACATAAAAACTGCCAAATACTGTAATATATATTGAGGATAAAATGTCCTTGTGAAACTTAAGTTTAGAGAGGAGACAAGCATTAATCAAGTAACCCTCAAAATACATTGTGATATGTACTGTGAAAGAAAAATGTGTGTACCTATGAGAGAAATTAGGGAGTTTATCAAATCTGGAGGATGTAAGATATTACAGGGAATAAATCAAGGAAGGCTTTCCTCAGATAGTAACAGTTAAGGTAAAACCTGAAGCATAAGTAAGAATTGTTAGGGGAAAATGGTAACAGCGCTTTTTAGGCAGAAGTAACAACCATGTACAAAGGCCACAAGACATGAATTATTCAAGGAGCAGAAAGGGTTAACCTAAAATGTTCTCTGAAAATTAAACAATTCTCATCAACCTTCTTTTGGAAATGGGAAAATTTTGGATAGGGGCCACACAAAAATATTGGCACTAAACATGGAAAACTGAGGGGAGTGCTAAACAACAGTCACTTTTATATTTCCACTCAGTCTCTTGTTGGTGATTAAGAACATTAATTACAACATCTGGCCTAGTGGTTCTCAAATTCTTCTGAATCAGAATGTTTTGTACTTTTTTATATAACACCTTAAAGAACTTTGCTTTGTGAGTTATAATTATGCTATTTATAACAGCAGAAGTATAAATGTAAAATTTAAAACTATGTGTGAATTACTGAAAGTAACAATTAGCTCATTATATATTAATATAAATAAAACAGTTTATGAAAAATAACTATTTTTCAAAAAATAGTAAGAAGGGTGATTTTATACTTTTATATATCTATTAAATGTCCTGATTTGATAATTAAATTCTCACATTTACTTCCTTACAAAAGCAAATGTTACTTTATTTTACTTTATGATATGTTACTTTATTTTTCTGCAGTGCTGGGATTAAGCCCAAGACCTTTTACATGCTGGTCAAGTGCTCAGATACATTATTTTAACTGGAATATAAGAAGAAAGTCTTGCTTCCTAGTGATAAGCAGTTAAAAAAGAGGCGCATTTTAGCAGCCTTTTCAGATAATAGGTATCCTTTGATAACTGTACCAAAATCTGAGTAATGGAAAGTGTTTTCTTTTCCTTTTGCTAAGGGTTGAACCCATGGTGTTGTGGATGCTAAGCAGGCATTCTGCTGCTGAGATATAACCAACAAGAGGTAATTTCTTACACAAAGAGCATGGCACTGGATTCTACAAACACATCTATTAGTTTTCTACTATAAAGTTTTACATAGGTGTAATAGTAGCATCTCAGCACCTTTGCCTGAGGGATACAGGAAGCAATACTGGTGTTTACCCACTTTGTACAATAAAAGGCAAGATGAGTATATGTGCAAATATGTCAAACTAGAGTTTTCACTGACATACTGCTCTCACAAACAGGTTTGGCATATGTTTACCTGAGCATCACAGAAGGTGTAATATACCCACACGACTCTAGGATTGGTTTTAAAAAAAGTTTCCTTTTAAATTTTTCTGGTAGAAGTAGCCTAATTCAGTACAATGGCACATGAAAAACCAGATTTGCAAGTTTTGAATGTCAAAAGTGAATCATCAGATTACTCATGCATGGATGATGAAGATAACTCATTATGGTAAAATATGTGTTTTCATAACAGAAGAATGATGTGGGTGGATGATGATGATTATGATGATGACAATGATGACTTTGACATTGACCATATGAGACAAAGTTCCTGTAACAGTGAAATGGAGCAAGAATTGACTGATACAGACACAGGTAATGCAGATCTTCTTGATTCAGATGACAAAGAAAACAGCAGTGTGAGTATATATCTGACCATAGAAATATTACACAACCAAATGGAATGTTATAATTCAGAAAATATAGTGAGGGTCTGGGCGGGAGTGAAACATACTGGACAAAATGCCAGTACTGCCATTCAGTGTTGGAAATTGTAATAAATGACATCATGCTACAAGATGCTGTGAAATACAGAAAGACTGAAATATAAGTAAAACATTCTGTATGTACTAGTGGCTGTATTCAAAGTTGTATTATGACACCTCACTAGATGAATTGAATCATTCATATGTCTGCTATACTTAACAGCGATTTCTCATGGTAATTGCAGGAGTGTAAAATACTTATGGAAACGTGATGGGTCAAAATATGTGATGAAAATTTATGCTCTTGTAGATGTGCAAACTTATTGTGCTTTCCATTTAGAAATACATCCTGAAACTCAACTATCAGGTCCTTATTTGTGTAATAAATCAAATGATGTGAACAGACTTATTGCTGCCATCTTACAAATTAATCAGAACAATTGATTTAATAGTTGCCAATTGGTCTTACATTTGTTCAATTTATGGTTGACCAGCACAGGAACTGTATACAGGAACAAAGCAAAAATGCCAAATGGAATGTTGCAATTGTAAAACAGAGAATTGTATTTTCTGATCTTTGGATTTCAGAAAGATTTACATTGGTTTCATATATGGCAAAGTAAAACAAACTGGTACTGCTGATGTCAACATTACACCATGAAAAAAATAGTGATAGGAAACCCTTGACAAAACAGAAGCCTGAGACAGAAATTTTCTAAAGCAAAACTAAAGGTTGAGTAGATATTATTGATGAGTTATGCAGCAAGTATAATATCACTCAAACCCAAATTTTTGACCAATGTTTGTGCTTTACTCAGTCCTAAACATGTGTAGCATAAATAGTTTACTAGTTTACAAAGAAAATAACAAGTACAAAATGCCATGAGGTAATTTTCTTAAGACAATTGGGACTGGAACTCATAAGAGATCATTTATAACAAAGGAAAAAAATGTTTCTTCCCAGGGAACTGTGTAAAAAAAATTGTGGACCACACTGGTGGCTGACAGGAAAAAAGACAGGGCAGCATCCCCAAAACCTACTATGACAACAGGAAAATCAAAAAATGTCAACTGTGTCCTATGTAGAAAGGACAGGAAAGTAAAACATATTTGGCATCAGGGTAAATGATATTTGTGCATGGAACATGGAATTTTCATAGGTGAAGACTGCATTAGTATGATATTTAAAGCAAAGATTATATCTTTTCTTTTTTTCAAAGATTATTTCTCTGTATGTTTATATTGTAGTTCAAATAAAACATTGCTCATATCATCTTTTACGTTTTGTAAGAAAGTACACAGTTGATATGAAAATGTTGATGTTTTTTCCAGATGTACAGTATATATTAAGAATTTAATACTTTATTTATTTTATTGACATTTCATGTTCCTGTTAACTACACATTGCCTGATATAGGAATGACCGCTTTATAAAACAGCAAGACTAGTGAGATGTCAAGTATATCCTCCAAAAAGGCCAAGGAAAGCAAAAGACATGTGCTGTCAGTGTAAGTGATATGTGTGACTGGCACATGCTGCTATCGTGTGAATATGTCTTAGGTGCAATAATTGAAGTAAACATTATTTTTCTTGGTAAGGCACTATTGGAATTTTCATTGTAGTTCATATAGGCATTTACTTCTGGTATTCTTTTTTAGACTTTGTATACCAAAACTCAGTTGATGTTCAAATTTTGATGCTTTTTTTATAAACCTCAATAAATATTAATAATGCAATACCTTATTTTTGTGATTTTTTTCTGTTAAGCTCTTACTGTTTAACATAATAAAATTTAGAGTAACAAGAAATCAATTTGCCCTTCTTGTGTGCCAGCTCAAGTTATGTGGGGCCCAGGAGGAGAAACAAGCCAGTTTACCCTTCTTGTGAGTCAATGGAAGCCATGTTGGGCCTAGGAGGAGTAACAAGAAGTTAATTTGCCCTTCCTGTGAATCAGTACAAGCTATGTGGAGGCCAGGAGGAGAACAAGTCAATTCACCTTTCCTGTGAGCTGACACAAGTCATGTGGGGCTCAGAAGAGAAATAAGCCAATTCACTGTTTATGTGAGTTGGTGGAATCTATGCTGGGCTTTGGAGGAGTAACAAGAAGTCAGTTTGCCCTTCCTGTGGGCTGGCACAAGCCATAGGGAGCCCAGGAGGAGAAAAAAACCAATTCACCCTTCCTGTGAGTCAGCAGAAGCCATGCTGGGCCTACGAACAGTAACAAGAAGCCTATTTGCCCTTGCTGTGAGCCAGCACAGGCCATATAAGGCCCAAGAGGAGAAAAAAGTCAATACACACCCATTCTATGAGTTGGCATAAGCCATGCTGACCCTGAGAGGAGTAACAAGAAGCCAATTTGCCCTTCCTGTGAGCTAACCAGCAAACAGGCTGGGAGACAAGAATAGCTGAGCACACCTTGCCCTACAGCCCTGTAAGCTGACTTGGAAGACTGGCTGAGTTGATAGCAACTGAGGCACAAAAACAACTTAATGCTTTCATTGTGTGATTGACTTTGCAGGCCTCAGGCCAGTAGTCTGAGCATCTGTTAAGAAGATAACAATATGCAATATAGCAAATAAGGGAGATTTCCTTTTGTCTTGATTTTGAAATTCATATTATTCTCACTGGTTTCTTTCTATTTTATTGTTTTGTTTTATTCAATGTTCTGTTTTGATTGTTTTAATTCTGTTTTGTTTGATTTTGTTATGTCTGATAGTGTGGGCAATAATTTTGAAGATAACAAGAGGCATTATAGTAGCCATTGTTGATTTCCTGTTGTCCTATTTTGAAGTCATATCACTTTCACTGTTTTGTTTTGATTTCCTTTATTGGTTTATTTTATTTGATTTTATTCTCTTTAAAGTAAAATAAATAATATAATATAATCAATTTAATAATTTATCAATAGAAATATTTCAAAGAATAAACATGAGTTTGACACATCCAGGTTATGGCTTTTATGAGAAAAGATGTGTTATGCCCTTAAAGGATAATTGTTGAATAAAAATTGGAACTATATCAGTGAATTTTATGTATACATTTATATTAAAATCTTGATCTACTTTAAGCTTAGATAACATCTTTTACCTATGCATATATTGGTTCAGGAAATTATGTGATCTTCTGAACTCTGATATATTTCATTATTTAAAATAAAAATTACATTTGTTAATATCACTGCCAATCTCACAAAAGACTAGGACACTTTGCAACTCATTATCAGATATATTTTCCTCAATTCTTATTTTTGCTTGAAAATTTGAAATTTATCACTTGTATCAAATTCTGTTTGTTGTTTTTCTTGACATGACAGACTCTTTGTGAGATTCCAGGTTCTATTTCTTTCTTTCTCTCTCTCTATTTTTTGGCTTTTTGCTTCAGGCTGGCTTTGAGTTCCCTATATAGTCCAGACTGACCTTGAATTCATGGGGGATCTTCCTGCCTCAGCTTCCTGAGTCCTAGGACTAAAGGTCTATGCCTGGCTGCTCTATTTATTTTCGATAATGGAAACAATGCAACAAAGCATCAATTTGCTGATTTTGAAATGTAATACAAACTAACATAAAGCTGTGCTCAATAAATTTTTTTAAAAACTACATTACTAATACACAGAAAGATAGTTCTTGAGAGTTTGGCTATACTTAAAATAAAATTGAGTGTTGGGCAAAGAAATTCATACCAGAGACTTGGCTGAGAAGGGGCCCAGGAAAACAATAGCTAGAGAGAAGTTTCCACAAATACTAAGTTAGCAAAATAAATATAGGATTTCCAAAGCACTAGAAATCTAGAGCCCACTGGAGGATTTTTTGGTACAGTCCATATTTAAGGCCTTGTAATTACAAATTTCCATATTTTTAGATTCTTAGTTTTGAGTTTACTGTAATCTAGACAAATCTCTGGCATAGGGTAGCATGTTCTTTATTCATACTGTGTGAAAAGACCTGTGCCTCCTGATTTTCTTCCTTTGCTGTCACTAAGCTCCTGTCATTAATACAGCAGGCTTCCATTCCTGCAAAGGATTACTGCCTAGTAGATCAAATTCTCTGGTTTGGATTTTTCTTTCATGAACACTCTGATACTTTCCAGGGATCACTCTAAATATATCAAGATTTTTTTTATTTTATCTTCCTTTACAATTCTGCTTGGCTACAAATCTGAGACTCACCGAATGCTAGCAGCATTGGTCAGAAGGTGTCAGTTTCAATGTAACAGCTTTCTAAAGTTCTGTGATCATAACTGTTCATCTGTCATGACTTTTTTCTCATTATCTTGCCAATTATTTCTTTCAGAATTCAATCTTCCTGTCTACATGGTGAGCATCATTTTTTTTTTTTTTGATTAATGCATCTCTGGTAGCTTCATCATCTTTTTGCAAATCTGAGCCATCTTGTTGGGACTAAATGGAGTATCTATCCACTCTCCGACCAAACTCTAAAACAGAGGAAGTAGCCTCCCAACTCATCATGATTTTTTAAAAGAAGGCCTATATAACTGTTGATAGAGCCAAGTTAAACTTTTCTATTAAGTACTGGATAGTCTTTATGGTAGCACCCATCTCTGGTGAAGAAAGATTTTCTTCCTTTTCCTCATCAGACTGTGTTCTGAGTCTTCTTCTGATGTGGTAAGATCATCATCATGCAGAATTATGTATAGCTCAAAATCATCTCTCATTCACAACTTTCTCCAAGTCGTGGGTGGTTTCTACAATTATTATTTTGATCATCTCTTCATTTCCCTGATCTCATCGTTCACATATTCTTCAGGCATATCTAGAGTTTTTTTATTGTATGGTTTTTTTTTTTTTTTGGAAAGATATTTCCACCTACTTTATTGTTCAGGTAACTTGCATGTTTATTTTATTTTATTTTATCTTATTTTTGAGATGGGTCT